TGAATTTAATTGTACATTTGTAGATCATGAATCTGATTTGTAAATTTTAATAATAACACCAACAAACTCAATGTCTAGTGTAGAAATGGAAAGTTCTTGGTCTTCCTGGAACATGTGGAGTAAGAAGTTGGTTTTTAAAATTCATTTTATGGTTGTTATACCCTGGTTCTGGTGCTGAATTGCACCAAAACCAAAGTCTGGGCCATGCATTGTCCAAACAGAATCCTAGGATTTGTCATTTGATGAGGCATTCAACCTGGTCTGTTAGAGAGGTCTGGTGCATCACCAAAACTAAAAATCCCAGGATTCTGTAGCGTCTTCATAGGGTCTGCTTAGATTCATAAGGTTTTCTTAGGCAAGCAATACTCAGATGTGGTTTGCTATTGCCTTCCTATGAAATTCATAGGGTCACCATAAATCAACAGGAAACCTGAAGACACACATACTTTCTGGTTAGAGATGCTGATAATACTACTTCTGATCACCAACTATGTAATAATACTAATACCAATACTAATAATAACTAATACCAATACTTATACTAACAATGATCTTTGCTAGGGTTTATTTCAAGCCTTAGATTGTGTTTCAGTTATGGATAAACTGATAAAGTAATAGTTAAACACGATGGCCAAAACTTCAACTGACTATAATATGGGCCTTTTTGGGGGGTGAAGGTGATTTTACTTTCATCTGAAAAATAGCATTATATTATCCATCGTTTTCAAGGAGGAGTGGGTGGAGAAGTGGAAAGGATGAACTGTTTTCATGGCAATGAACCTGTGGTTGGTCTTAATGAGACAAATGTATTTATTACCCTGTTGAGACCTTAACTTCAGTAACATCAGGATAAAGCCTGTGTTGTGCTAAGTTGAATTTCTTTGCTGTTATTAGAAGGAGTGTGATATGATTGCTAAGGTTAATCATCCTTTATTTTTCAATGGCTGAACTAATCAGTTAGTGATTGAACCAACTGGTGCAAAATTGTATTTTCTCTGAATCTACAACTGGCAGATTATTATTATTTTCTATCCCTTCCACCCCCCGGTATCACCTCTTCTTCTTCTCCTTTTCCCGGTTAGTGCCCCTGTTGGATTATTATTTTTTTAAATGCTGGATTAAAGCAAACAATTCACAAGAGGTTAAAACCACAGCCTTATTATAAGGGATACTAGAAGTAAACATTATTAATTATAAAAATTGCTTAAATTAAGAGTTTTTTCCACACCTGCCTCATACTAATTAGCAAGTCGTCCACACACTTCACTTGGTTGAACCCTTTAGTATTTATTCAAGCATACTTGACATTAACATACTGTTTGATGTTTGATAGCTCGAGTTTTTAATTTAACCATATAACAACAAATGGTATTTATGAAATATCAGTGAGCTGGAAAAGTAGCTTGTGTTTCGTTTGTGAATGCCGTAGTGAGCCGAGAGCAGTTTTCTTCCCTGAGGCTTCATGTGGAGGTGAAATCGAGAGGGCGGAGGGGATGTGAACCTCCCGCTTCATATCAGGAGCTTTATGAGAAATATAAAAGTTTGTTATTGGTGATTTGCAGCAGTTCACATATTTGTGGGGCAGGGGTATGGGGGGAAAAAAGGAGGCAGTCGGATATCACACAGAAATAAGAATCAAGGGCACGATCCCTCAGGCCATTCTGAAAATGAATGTGAGCAGCCAAAAAATTGCAGTTGCATTTTTCCATGCTTGGTGTGCAACCATTTTGCCTGACTGTGCATGAGATCGTCTTGAACAAAAATAAATATTCAAGGCGAGAACTGCTGGAGAGAATTTTTTTCTCTGTCTTCCTCTCTCTTACAGACACACACACTTTACAGAATCACGCTTACATTTGAACAGGGACATGGCTATACACATATATTCAACCACATGTTTATTTTTAAGCCTGTGTCATTTGACCACTAAACAGAGCAAGGACTTGGACAGGATTTTATTTGGCCTATATTTTAATGAGAGGAAGTAGATTTAAGTCTATGAAAGCTGCCAACTTCTTTCTTTCAGTCAGTCTCAAAGTTGCTACAAGATCTCTCTACGTACTGATTCCACAGCCTATATCTTTGAATTTTAATGTGAACTTAATTTTGCCCTTTTGAAACAATATACAAGTTGCCATTCAGTGATCCTTTTAATCCTTGCAGCTTTGAATTTTGCTATCGTTCGTTGATTGAAAAAGTCCCCCCATCCAAATGATGTATGTTAGTTTAAAATGTTTTAAAATACATTGTGTTAGGGCTTGAAAAATCTGTGTGTGAATCAAAATTAGGTACAAAAATGCATCTGGAAAAATGCATCTATGAATAGACATGGGAATTCTCATCTAAACATCACAAACCTGCAAAGTTCAGGATGAGGTGACTGTAATATTGGAGAAACGACAGACCCAAATGGACAGATTCATTCAGTAATGGCCAAAATCCATTTGTTAATCCCAACTAGAAAAATTCAATGGAATTTATATAAGTGTTGACTTACCAAGTCCTTATTTGATTTGATGGGTTTTCTATAGTTCCTTTTAGGTTTACACCTTTAACAAATATTAACCAAATTCTAATTATCATTTTTGTCTTCAGAAATGTGTGTTTTCATTTTCATTTCAGTTAGACTTGCCTGCTTATTTAACAAACAGGGTTTGTGTGATAGGGTGAAAATACCAAAATCAGAAAACTAGTGCTGTTTTTCTCCCAAAATTAGTTTCACATTATTCTTTTTAAATCTGCTAGATTGTTGTTGCACTTCAGCGTCTTCAATCTTCAACATCAGGTGGCCTTAAAGCAAACCTATCACAGAGTTTTCTTGGCAAGATTTGTTCAGAGGTAGTTTGTCTTCCTCTGAGGCTGAGAGAGTGTGACCTGCCCAAGGTCACCCTGTGGGTTTTCATGACTGAATGGGGTTTCAAACCCTGGTTTCCAGAGCCATACTCCAGTGCTTCAACCACTACACTACAAAAGCAATACTGGAATACATTTGTCACTTTCAAGTTTCTTCCTATGCTCTATAAGGAAAACATTTCAACTCTTTCACTGGTGTTTTACATTTTCTGCTACATCTTTTCCTCAGCAATATCCTGGCAGTCTACAAGGTCCCAGGGAACACTCAGTCTATAGAAGCTCAGTTAAAACAGCTTTTAGAAATAGTTTACTTATATGTTGTTCCAGTAAAGCCCAAAAGAACAAGGAAATGGAAAAGGAGGAGAAGAAAAGGGATTATTATATATAAATTCTATAAGGCTAAACTAGCAAACACCTTGGCAAGGTATCATTATGTTCCTAGTTTCCATATATATATATATATATATATATATATATATATATATATATATAATATTAATGGGGGTTGATTTAGATAGGGGATCCATCAATAGTGTGCAGATTAATTCTTTTTCTCTCTCCCCCAGTTTTACAATATAAATTCCTTGCCCTAAGCAGCTGTTTTCCTCATTAAGAAAAATCAGATTTTACATCATTTAAATCCTGGTTGTTTTTTAATTCTACACCCATGACAATGTTTTTTTTAATTTTTTTGTTAAATAAATGGATTATCTGATCACAATGGCTCAGTGCTATGGCATTCTGGGAATTGTAGCACTAGACCACCCTGACAGAGAAGGTTCAATGTCTCACAAAACTGCAGTTCCTACAATTCCATAGCATTGCACCATGGCAGTTAAAGCAGTCTCAACCTGGATTATTTCTGTGGTGTGGATGCAGCCTCAGTATTGGGGTAACAGTGCTTAGGACCCGGACTGGAAAGTGACTGGTCATTGGGTTTCAAGAAAAGTCCTGGGATGTGGTTTGCCAGGGAAGCCGCTGTACTTTGAGGGAATGTCTTGGTGACCTGTGCATGCCACCTTCTCTTTAACAATGTTCTCCCTCACCCCAATTTGGCTATGGAAGCCATTAGCATCAGTCAAGCAGAGAACCAGAAGTGTTGTGGTGATATACAGATTCTGGTTAATGACAGAAACTTGTTGCAATGAATTTTCACTGAATGATGCTGGCTTCTCTCCAGTAAGGCACCAGGTTACATCTGATTTTGATTTGTGCCTTCGAATCAGTTCAACATGGATCTGGTACAGCGTGCTGTTTTGAAACTCTCACACACATCTCCACCCCCCGAACTATTGTTCAGGTTTGACATCCATCATTAGTCTTGTTCGTCTGTCTGTGCCATTTAAATTTTGGCAGCCAGCAGAACAGAAAGGCATTTCTAAAAGATTAATGTTCATACCAAATGCTTCAGAGACACAGTGGCTGTAATATACTTCTAAAATGCAATTGACTCTGGAGTGGGGTACTAAGGGCACATAGTGATGGGGCAAAGATTTTCAGTGGGTTATGTGGCATTTGCCCCCAAAGTCAATGAGATAGTTGCACAATTGCAAAAATGATTATGCTCTTTTAAAGTTAGACTAGTTAAAACATAGACATCATGATTAACCGGTTTAATGATTCTAGCAGAGAAAATCCTTTCTGTGTCAGTGGTGGGCAAAGTTGGTAGTCTTTCAATGATGGCACATACATGTGCAATGCCACACAGGCATATACATCGCCACATCATCACTATCACCATTTATATTGCACAATAGAGGGTTATATTGACTCCCAAGTATGTGCCCATTGAGAAGCAGTTTTGGCACACTTGTAGGTCTGATCCAATGCACTACACAAGTTGAGTCTCTCTTATCCAAAATTCTGAAATCTAAAATATTCCAAACAAAACAAAACAAAACAAAACAAACAAACAAAAAATAAAACCCAAAACTTTTTCATGAGTGGCTGAGATAGTGACACCTTTGCTTTCTGCTTGTTCAGTGCACAGAAACTTCATTTCATGCACAAAATGATTACAAATATTTTTATAAAATTACCTCCAGGCTATGAGTATAAGGTATCTATGAAACAAATGAATTTTGTATTTGGACATGGGACCCATCTCCAAGATATCTAATTATGTACATCTACACAAATACAAGAGAGTCAGTGTGGCAGAGTGGTTTGAACATTAGACTATGACTCTGGAGACCAGGGTTCGATTCCTTGCTTGGCCATGAAACCCACTGGGTGACCCACATGCTCTCAGTCTCAGGAGAAGGCAATGGCAAACCTCCTCTGAACAAATTCTGCCAAGAAAACCCCAAGATAGGTTTGCCTTAAGGTTGCAATAAGTTAGAAACAATTTGAAGGCACACAACAACAACAAATACAAATACAAATGACTTATGCATGTTGTCTACCCAGTGTTGGGTCTCTTTCACAATATACAATTGTACCTTTTACTTCACTTCAAACTTCCATGACTCCAATCTATAGAACCCTGGCATTTGAACTTTTATAACATATTTAGAATTCTGTGTCAGAGACTTCTAGACCCTAACCAAACTACAAATGCCAGGATTCCATAGGATGGAGTCATGGATATTAAAATGTCACCAAAGTGAATGGATTGAGTTGCTATGTTTCACAACTGTTAGTTTGCTTAAGTTTGCTGGGTTGGGGATGGGGATCAAAGAGTTTAGGAGTGGATCCAGGGGGCTTGTAGCTGAATGGGGGCATGGCACAACCAGGAGCAAATGCAGGAACTGGAATCAGAACTGTGGAAGAAGCTGCATCAAACTCTTGGTTTTACTACACCATCATCATCCATCTATTCATCCATCCATGCATTGGGAGCAGTGAGGTATCCAAGAGAATGTGCAACAACATGCCTTCCAACTGTCCAGATTTGGCAGAGAAATTAATCCTCTGTTATTTGACTTTTCCAGCTCCTTTTAAAATATCCTAATTTCTCTCTCTTCCAATCACTTTCCCCCTTTGTTCTCAACTTACTTAAATTGCTGCAGAGTGAGTTTGTGCTCAACCAACTCAGCAGGGGAAGAGGAGGGAGGGTGACAGAATCTTGTCCTTCCCTGTAGGACCAGGCAAAAACAGACTGCTGCAGCTTTTCCTAGCTTGTGTGTTCTTCCTCCTTAATAATTTTTGACATCTTGATCACAGTCTCATGTTGCTTGATCACACGTACCCCAGTTTTTATCTGTGAAATACAGGGGGTTAAGGCAAGAGAGAATGGGCCATAAAATCCTGCAAGAAGGCCTATTTCCTTTTGCTACATTGAGATGTTACATCACTGCTATGTGAGCCAGGAACAGAAGAGCAACTGGGTCGGTGGGTGGGTGGTTACTTGGACTCTGTGTGATGGAAAATTCCTCTTGGACTTTGAGTAAAGGTTTAGGGCTTGGAATTTGCAGCCAGAATGCTAGGTAGTGGTGGTGACGGGGAGAAAGAGAATGAGTTAGAAAATAATGCAGTTCATAGAACAGGGGTTAAAAATTGGGCCCCTTCCAATCTAATGTTAGGAGTTCTTTGGAAAGCATTCCCATGGCAGATTAAGTATAGAAAATGCTGTGTAAGGGCGAAAACAGACATGGCAGTGGCAGGCCTATGTGCAGAAGTGGGTCTCCAACCAAATCATCAGATCCTTATGAAATAAAGCTTGGATGCACAGAAGATTTTTCGCCTATTAGCAAAGACTTGGGAACAGGAGGGATAGGGAATAGGTTGTCCTCCAGATGAATTGCATCATCCATTGTTTCTCTGTATTGGTTATGCTGGAATTTCCAAACCACTAACATGGCAGAGGAGAGCACATGTTCACCACTTGTGCTGCAAAAGGTTGCACTTGTGCTGCAAGTGGTGAACATGTGCTCTCCTCTACCATGTTACTGGTTTGCAAATTCCAGCATAACCAGTAAAGATGAACAATGGGTGATGCAATTCATCTGGAGGACAACATATTCCCCATCCCTCCTCTTCATGTATGCTTCCCAAGAGACCTACATTTTACACTACAACAAAACTTTCCAGTAAATACACCAGTGGTCCTCTTCACAAGGTTTCTCAGGAGGCCAGGGATGCATTTGCATAGCTGAAACTAGTGTGCCAGCTGCACCCATTCCTTGGGACTTGACTTGGCTGTGGTGACACATTCCTTAGATACATCCCAATTGGATTACTGTAATGCGCTCTATATGGGGCTGCCTTTGAAGAGCATCTGGTAGTTCAAATGATCCAAAGATCTCCAATCAAATTACTAATGGATGCTGGTTACACAGTTCCCTTGTTGCAACAGCCCCCTTGGTTTCTGGTTTATTTCCAGACAATTCAAAGTTCTAGTTTTGACCTATAAAGCCTTATATAGCTCAGGTTCAGGCTATTTGAAGGACCCCGTTCTAAGATCTGCAGAGGATGGACATCTCCCTATATCCCAACACCTTCTCAGGCACAACTAGTGGGGACACAGGAGAAGGACTGCTCTGTGGCTGCTACCACACTTTACAAATAGGGAATTTAGGATGGTTCCTTCTTTGTTTTTTTCTTTTTGGCAGCCTTTCACTTCCAGTATGTTTTTTGAAAGCTGAGTTTAGCAAAAATGACTTTTACGGTGCTGTACTGTTTTTAAACTGTCTTAAGTGAGATTTTAATTGGTTTTAATTCTGTTGTTGTTTGATACTGTTTTAATCTGATCTGGATCTGGATCCCATATGTGTTTATCTGTGTATTTGGCCTTTTTCTATGCTGTCTTAAGTTCCAGCCAGGGAGAATGTGATAAATGCAGTTAAGGATGGATGGATAGATGGATGGTGGTCATGAGGCCCTCAGAATGCCCACTTCTTTGAGCGGGGTCATGTCTTCCTTGCCACAATCACCACTGCCTTTTTTTTACAACCCCTTAGATCAGTGGTTCTACCAGATGTTTTGGGCTTCAGCTCTTATAATTCCAAACTGTTGGCCAAGTTGGCTGAGGTTTCTGGGATCTGAAGTCCAAAACAAATGGAGAACCAATGATTGGGAACCACTGCAGAAGAAAGACACAAGGCAAGTACTCCATGACACTCCATCTCTTCTCTTTGGCCAATATTTGTGAGCTCAGAGAAGAGGGCAAATGAATAAATATAGACAGCAAGGAAGATGAACAGGAGACCCACGAGATTCAGCTGTGGATTTTCTGAAAGTGTGTGGGCCTTGGCTGGGTGCCCAACAAAGCAAAAACCCAGGCTTTCTGCTTTCCTGGTAATCTCCTCTTATTCTTTTGCAAACATCAGCTGATTTTCTTTAAATACATTTTTTTGCCCATTGGGTTTAGATCTCTACAACTAGTTGTCCTGTTTTAAATCAGTCACCAAATTCTAAGTAGACACAGAATCAGTGAATATACTTAACTTTGGCTCCCCTTCCCACATCCATTTAGTTTGATTTAGATTTTATATGATGTCATATTTTTATATGTTATGGTCTGAATGTTTAGTTTGTGAACCACCCAGAGAGTTTTTGGCTATTGAACTACAGAAAAAGTGCTGTAAATAAAAAACTAAATAAATATAGAGGGAGTTGTGATTCAACTGCTTGTTTTTATAGTAGTGTTTTATCAAAGGCCTCTCCTGGCTTTTTGTTTCTTATGTTGCAATTGAGAAGAAAGTTTAAAAAATAATTAGGTAATTACAGTATAAGGTAAGTTATAAAGCCTACAAATGTCAGAATATGGCAGCAGTCTTTTTATTGTCTGAACTGAACAGACCTCCACTATGAATGGATTTAATGGACAAACCTTAGAATTCAAGTTTTCCTCAGTTTCTTATTTTCACCTTACTAAGTTCAGTTTATCCAAAACTTCAGGATCTGTTTTTTTTTCAAAAGTTGCATGAAAATTGTTAAACAACTTTGTTCACTTGTTGTTTTAATCCATGTGTTTTTATCTACTGTACACATTTTTGCAAGTCCATTTCACAGGACAATTAATTTTCAAAATATTAATCTCACTAATTCCTTCCAACTGTCCTGACATGCCTGGAACAGTCTTGATGAATCCTCTGCTGTCCCACAATTTCAGCTGCTTTTAAAATGTCCAGTTTTTCTCTCTTTGTACCACTTCCCCTTTTGTCCTCACCCTTTGACAATTGTTGCAGTCTGAGTTCAGAGTGCAAAGATAGATTGCCCTCCATTAACTCAGCTGGTGGGTAAGGAGAGGAGGTGGAATTGTGTCCTTCCCAGTTAGCTTGGGCAAAAGCAAACGGCAGCAGCTTCTCCTAGCTTGTGCATTCTTCCTCATTAATAACTATTGCTATCTTGGCCACTCTATGAAGTTGCTTGGCCATATGTGTCCTGGTTTACATCTGTGAAATTTTGCAGGGTATGGTAATATACACATGTTTCAACAGCATACATATTTTTTGAATTTTTTAAAAAGCTAGAGTGATCCGTTACAAAATTCAGAGAACAATTTTTGAAGAATGACAAGAGTTTTAATTCAAGTATCATTTGGAAAGTGTAGAATTAAGCAAGTTGGTATTAAAATGTGAACCAAACAAATATATCTGGAGTTCCTGTCTCTGATTCTGCCTTGTACATAAAATGTACATAAAATGGCATGTGGTTCAGCCCTCTGAATAAAGACTGGAACAGGCACAATCCTGTTGTGGAGAGGTAAATTTAGCAGATCTGGTAGCTGCTTACCTGTAGTGCACTCTGGAATGAGTGCACTACAGGTAATTCGTGCAAAATTTTGGGCAATGGTTCATCATGTTCTCTATTGTGACCATATGAAAAATTGTATGACCTAGACTCATGAGTTTAGCATCTCTAAAAGGACAAGTCATCCTAACTATACAACATAGGAGATGGAAGACTAGCACAATTTCTTCATTTCCCCCTTTTATGAACTTTTATGGTCTATTTAAAAGGTGAGAAAATCTAACTTTTCCATGTTCCACTGCAATACTTTTGTTACAGTTCTTTCCATTACGAATATGTGATTTGTGAGTTTTGGTAAATTCTTCAAACATCATATTTCTTGCCTCTTTGCGCTGACCAAATTCAATAGGTACGACTATTCCTAGGTGGGCTATCTTGTACCTACCTACCACATTGGTGTTAAAAATGGAAAGCCATTCATAAAAAAAGGGGGGGGGCAGCCTCAACACAGGATCAAAAAGATTCTTGGGGACCACCACCATTATTGGAACAGCATGAAAAGGTTTATAGAACATTCTTCTCC